TTGAACATACAGAACAATGTTGACAAACAATCGGTTATACAAAAGTAAGAAGAAGACAAAACAACATCAAAAAAAGAATTATTTATATATATATATATATATTTTTTTTATATATATTTGTGAATGATTGTAGACTTGTGTACTAATTATACATGCAGTTCTGCTCATGGATATCTAGTATGCTTGCTGTTAGTTCCCTCAGATTAACGTATCTGCCAACAATTTGATGTCATAACCTCACAAACAGATCCAGTGCTTTTTATCCTCAAAGACCCTAAATAAATATATGAATGAATAAATAAATAACGTAGACTTGTCAGTTACATTTTTTGAATTATTTTAATGTAACCTTTTAAAAGTGCATGAATTAATTTTTTTTTAATTATTTTATTTACGTTCTTAAAATGTATGATTCTATGGCTTATAATAGCTTTGTTGTGCTTATTGTCTTTATAAAACAGTTTTTATTGCTTTAAATGTATTATTGCCAAACACAATATACAATATATAATTTTGTATTTATTTGTTTTATTTTATTATTTAAATGGAATTATTTTATGTTTAAATTATTTTTTTAATGTATTTATGTTTATTTTTAATATATATATATATATATATATATATATATATTATATATATATATATATATGTGACAATATAAAAAAACAATTTGATGTCATAACCTCGCAAACAGATCCAGTGCTTTTTATCCTCGAAAGTGTTCACAGTAGCCTATCGACCCGGTTCCTTGTAAGCACTACTTTATTTCCACACAGACTAATAAAAAATCATTTGCGCGCTCTTACTCCAGAAAAGTCGCATAAAATCATCCACTCAGTTCAGAGATCGGCAGATCGTATTTCCAGTTTAGTGTGCAGTATGGATTCACTAACAGACTGTGGGAGGAGGATGGAAGATGGATCACAATAAACTAAATATTGACTGTTTTTGGTACAAAAAAAACTTAATAACACAACACAACACAACACAAACCCTCCCTCTACAAAAACAGACCCAGATACTGTTTACACTGCCGTATCGGTTTAAGCATCGAGAGTGTCCTGGAGCGTCTCGGCTTTCAGAGAGAAGAATTAATCACGTTTTGGTTTTTTTTTCTGGACATTTTCACACGTGACAGCTCTGTGCCACACGCCATACAGGAGAGGCTCATTTAAAATACATGTATTCTGTTAAATAGTGTATTATCGTCTGCTGCGGATCACACATGCTGAAACAAGCTCATCAATTAAACATGTGAATGCAGTATGACTGAGCCACTGAGACAGTCCAACACTAAACCTTAACACTATATGACTGCTAAAACTCACAAGTGTCCGTTACTGGATGCTCAAATAGCTGCTAGTGCATCCGTTTATATATATATATATACATATTCTTGGGGTCACTCTGCAAGGCTGCAATTATTTGATATAATACAGCAAAAACAGCAAAATTGTAAAAAAAAAAATTATTTCATATAATTTAATTTAAAACAACTGTTTTCTATGTGAATATATTGTAAAGTGTAATTTATTCCTGTGATCAAAGCTGAATTTTCAGCATCATTACTGCAGTCTTCAGTGTCACATGATCTTCAGAAATCATTCTGATATGAAACATTATCAGTGTTGAAAACAGCTGTGCTGCTTCATATTTTTGTGGAAACATTTACATTTAATACATTTAATTTTTCAAGAAATCTATTGTAACTAGTGTTGTCACGGTACCAAAATTTCAGTATTCGGTACCAATACAAGTGAAAATCCACGGTTCTCGGTACCAAAGCAAAACAGAAAAACATGCTAATTAAAAAATTTGACTATACTTTCATTTAATCCAAACTGTGTACATATTTAATTTTAAAGGGGTTTTGAAAACCTAGAGTTATTCAGCCAAGAATAACAACTAAGTTAGCTTAAAAAAAAAAAAAAAAAAAGCCCAGAACTGCTTTTCTGACTGATATGACACAAACAATGTTAACCATTTGTACATTCTCTAACACGCATATTTCAGATTCACACTTCATTTAAAAGCCTCTGGTGTGTAAAAATAGTAAATATGTCGCCACGTCTCAGTGCTTTTATGAAGAGAGCGCATCTGCGCAACTTTCGGATAGCGCATCAGGTTGACCGGGTACTCGGTACTTAAAAAAACCTGGTACCGTAACGTTTTAATTTGTTTTAGTACCGACTTGGTACCGAAGTACCGGGTCTTTTGACAACACTAATTGTAACATTATAAATGTCTTTACTGTCACTTTTGATTAATTTAATGCATCTTTGATGAATTAAAGTATTAATTTCTTAAATAAAAAAAACTTTGCATACGTGTAAATATGTACATGTATAGTACATAATAGTTTGGTGCTGATAGTGGTACAGAAATTACACACTTTAAAGACTATTAAGACGCATACATTTACTTGAACTTGTTTACATAATTACTTATATGTATTCAAAAGCTATTTACAATATCTAGAAAGCTCAGACACTGATATCGTTGTCTTTACTTTTGTATAAATACCACTGTCTTGGGCTGCAGAAATACTCAAAGAGCTATATAGAAATATAGAGATAACAGCCATCATAAATATGCACATACGCACATGAATATGCATTGGTATGAATTCTTTGATGTCTTTGATGCAGGGATATTTTGCCGTAAGGATTTACACTGTAAAAAGTAATCACTGAATCTACTTAAGAAAAGCGAGTAAACATAACTGATTTTTACAAATTTGTTGCCACAGGTTTTCCAAGTAAGTTCAACTCATTACTTTTTACAGTGTACTGTGTTTGATTTGGCTCATTCTTTTCACTCTTAAGTGCAACATGAGGACAAACAAACCTCTTACCAATGTGTTCAAGGAATAGTTCACCCAAGATGAAAACAATGGATGCTCTGCAGTGAATGGGTGCCGTCAGATTGAGAGTCCAAACAGCTGATGAAAACATCACAGTAATCCACAAGTAATCCACACCACTCCAGTCCATCAGATAATGTCTTGTGAAGCCAAAAGCTTTGTGTTTGTAAGAAACAAATCCATTATTAAGACGTTTTTAACATCAAACCGTTGCTTCCAGCTAAAATACGAGTCCATAATCCATAATAACGCTTCCTCCAGTGAAGGAGTGGATTACTTGTGGATTATTGTGATGTTTTTATCAGCTGTTTGGACTCTCATTCTGACGGCACCCATTCACTGCAGAGCATCCATTGCTGAGAAAGTGATATAATGCTGAATTTCTCCAAATCTGATGAACAAACAAACTCATCTACATCTCGGATGGCCTGATGGTGAGTAAATATAAGCAAACTTCCATTTTTTTGTTGAACTATTCCTTAAACACATTGGTAAGAGGTTTGTTTTGTCCTCACGGTACCTCACTATTCCTTCAACTATAACTCTGAGTTACCATGGTAACCTAGAATCATCATTAAAACGACCTCATCATTCAGAACGTCCTCATTCCAGTTCTAGAAGCCCAGATGTGTCTCGTCCTGATCAAATATCTGCTGGAACTAGCAGTCTGTGCCGGACTGAGTCTCCGGTGAGTGTTCCAGCTTTTTATATCAGAAACAGTAAAACTGTCACAAACGGCATCCGACAAAACTTGCAGGAAGAGTCTGGCCTATTTGTATGTGTTCAAAGATAGTTTTGCTCAGTTTGGGGCTCTGAAAAAAATTAGGTGTTCTTGCTCCATATTCTCACTATATCAGACTAAATGAGCCATAAAAGCCTGGTGTATCAGATATGATAATCAACAAACAAAAAACATATGCAAGGTTCAATAAACTCTTTCATTTATACAGAAATGTTTTTTTTTCTATTTTTATGTCAGGCTTTACAGGGTTAAACCCCTCAGTGCTGGACACAAGGGCAGACAGATGGAGATGGACGTGTCCCATATGTCTGCGGGTGACACCTCGTGTCCTCTCAGCATCTCTTCACATCTGAGCATCATCTCACACAGTAATTCATGTCCACCATGAGCAAAAAAAACACAGCAAGTCTAACCACAGCAAGATCATATCTACCTCTGTCAGATGTTAAAAACATACGCATTTCAGGTTCGTGACCATTCGTGATCAACCACATAAATTACAGCAACGACTTGTCCTCCAGCAGGTCAGACTAGTTCAGTATGTGATCTAGCTGTCATATTTTCCTCCTGGCAAACCGTCACACCTCATCATCACTGGTTGAACAGGCGAAACCGCGTGTGAATGTAAGGAACAGGCATGTCAAGCTGACACAGTGAAAATATTTACCACAGTACTGAATGATTACACAGATCACTAAAGTGAGTTCTAACAACTAGTACAAGTAACTAACCAGCTAACAGGGACATTCTGGCAAAGTTACGAACTAAGGTTCTTCCAGTAGTGTTAACAGAACGTTCATGCAAAATTATCTGGTATTTAATAATGTTCTCAAAAGATTAATATATATATAATAAAATAAAAAACGTTATTTACACACGTTTATGGAAGGTTTTCCCTAAACGTGTTATTAGAACGTTCGTCTAACGTTTTTTAAATGTTATCACTTGTGTCAGAAAGTTTAGAAAACATAATGTTCGCAAAATGATGAAATAGAATGTTTCCTTGACGTTCGAAAAACGACGAAAAACATTTTAAAACGTTCGGGGAACGTTCAGAAGTAACATTTTTAGAACCTAACGATAGCAAAACATTATTAAAACATATTTTGTTAGCTGGATATAGCCTATATGTTTATAAAACGTACTGTGGTAGTACCATGGTAATAAAAAACCAAATACTGAATGATTAACATATTCATGTACCATGGTATTGACAAGGAATTGCAACATTATCAAGGTATATGTGCAAAAAACATGGTATTAGCATGATCATTTTATTAGAGTAGTGTAATTTTTGTTGATGTTATATTGTTGCAAAGTGTTATCGAACACGCTCATAAAAGCCTGTTTATTGAGTAAACAGGAGTTAAACTCTGTAATAAGTTGGTTTCTTACCGTGCGTGTGTTCCGGGCGGCTCGCGCTGTTGTGACTGATGGCGCGCGCCCAACGTTCCGCCTCGCGCAGGTTCGCGTCCTCATCATTATCATCTGTACTGAGCGCGAGCCGAAAGCGCCGCTCGTCCCTCTGGCGAACCGGACCCGAGGCCATCCAGCGGTGCCGGCACGGGTAGAAATATACGCACAGATCCGCGCTCTGGTCCTCGCGCTCGCTCCGGTGCGCGCGGCTCCCCAGGCAGTCGCGCAGGTCCAGGTGCTCCGACGATGAAGGGGAGCTGATGTTCTGGACCGTCAGGCAGCTGTCCGACAGAGTCAGCGCGTGTGTGAGCCGCCCGGTGTCCGCGTCCGTAAACAGCCCGTGCATGAGCGCACCCGCGGTGGGCCCGTTCCGCTGATGCGCCGCGTCCGGTTCATCCATCCCGCGACGGGACGGTGCTGCAGTGAGTACGCGTGTGCTGCCGCGGGACGCGGTTTAAACGTGTGTGTGTGTGTGTGTGTGTGTGTGTGTGAGAGAGAGAGAGACATATAGAGAGAGAGTTCCCATACCTCTCCCTAGTGACAGAAAAGCGGCATGACATTAAAATAACGCATAAGGCAATAAGGCAAAGGGCGTGACCTTGACACTCTCAAGACCCGACACTCCTGAGTTGTTTTCCGTCACTAAAAATACTGTGATGATGACTGTGATCTCTGAAGTAGAATTCAAAGAATACCATGACCGTATGTGAAAGAGTGAAAGAATAAAACACTTTTACCTACTATGGTACATATAAAAAAAAATATAAAAAAAATCATAGTAGTGCATGGTACAAATCAAGGTTATTATCGATGGGCTAACTAAAACCATTAAAAAAAAACCTTGAAAAAAATGTTTTACCTGAAATAAACGTTAACTAAAATAAAATAATAAAAAAGGAAATAACTAAAAATGGAAATAAATAAAAAATATAATAAAAAAGTAATAAAACGATGGACATAAATATAATATAAAAAATTAAAATGATTAAAGCTAACTAAAATCCAAACAAAAAAAAATATTTACAATATTAATAAAACTATAACAGTATAACAATGATGCTACAATAACACTGGCACATATCCAATAAAAAAAAGTCACAATATTACCATAATATTATGGTATATTATACCCAGAAACGTTCCGTTATGCCCTAAGTACAGGGTGCGAACTACGGGGGTGCTAGGGGGAGCTCGGCTCCCCTTATTAAGACATGGGCTCCCCTGAAAACGTGATTTGTGAAATTTTGGGGGGTCTCAAAAAATATTGACAATAAGTATACCTTGGTTTTGCGCGTACGCTAGGGTACAGTGCACACAGTGCGCATGACTCGAATTTCGTCATAAGCACAGTGCACGCGTACAGTACACACGCAGCCCGATTTTTTGTACGAACCTTCCGAACACGATTTTTTTTTGCACTATTCAGTTTATCCACAAGGTGGCAACACTGTCCCGGGCTGTTGTTTCACAGTCGGAAAAGAAACGGAGGAGACAGAACAATAGACCCATTGCTCACGTGAGGGGATTAAGAGAGGCCCTCAACACTAGTTTAAAGGAGTACAAAGACATTTTATCATTCAAAACGCTTGGAGAGAAAAAGTGCAGACACTGGACAATGATGAAGCTTTCTAGTGCGCATGTGTCGTGCATGGTATCAGAGGATATACTTTAAAAGGCTGTGCGTAAAAAACTTTCAGCTTCACACTTAATATAATGTAGGGGAGACTGGGAAAATCAGATTCCAAAAATTAAATACTTGTAAGCAGATTAAATTACATTTTAAAATACTCGTAATCAGCTAGACTACAGTTACTTTTTTTTTTTTTTTTTTTTACTAATTGCATATTATTCACACAATTGCAAATAAATTATTCATAAATTATTGATTCTTCCTAATTCCTATTTTTCATCTTTTAAATTTTCCAAATAGACTACTGCTTATACACCGGGAGAGTCTATGAGTTTTGTGGACATTCACACAGAGATCAGTCACTGGTCAGATGGCTACACAGCATTTGACCACTGGATTTACAAAAATCATTTTAATTTTTAAGAAGTGTTTTCTCAGCATTTCAACATTGCATCAACTACTGAAGAACACACTCATTATTATTTGAATTATCACTCAGTAGGTTATTTAACCATGCATTACTATGTCTTCGGAAGGCTTTTGTCTTTCAAACACATTTAAATGCACAAATTCACGTTGTTTCTTATTTATATGTAATGCAGGGATTCCCAAACATTTTTTGCCAGCCAAACCACTTTCACCAAATATATTTACTTGAAGTACCCCTGAGACTTTAAAATAAATATTTTAATAATTGAGTATCGCATGTTCACAGTTCTCTGATATTGTTTAATGGTCACAAATAAAATATTTATTTTTAAGTAAGCGTTTTATTTTGATGAATGTTACTTTAAAATGATTTATTTTCATTTTACATTTTTCAGGGTGTCCGTGGGATCTTAAAAAGTATTAAACGTTGATAAATCAATTTAGAGAAAATTAAGGCCCTTAAAAAGTATGAAAAAGTCTTAAATGCCATTTTCCAAGGTATTAAATTTTGTATTATCTTTTCATTATGTATATTTGTCCGAATAGTGGGGTTCTGTGTAGTTTATTTATTTATTTATGGAATCCCGCAAGATTTGACATCATCTGTTACGGCGCTCACTGACTGACTGCACCGCTGCGGAAAAAAAATAAATAAAAATGCACCGCTGCGTGATAGCGCGGGGCTTGTTGATCCCTCTCTCGCTGAATTTATCACCATTACCACATGCTCCCATCCGCTCCGCAAACATTCTAATATTGTATATAATTTTCGTGCATCAGGGTCCCGCTATCAATATGTGGGGTATTTAAAGGGGTCATATGATGCTGCTAAAAATAACATTATTTTGTGTATTTGGTGTAATGAAATGTGTTTATGTGGTTTAAGGTTAAAATTTGAAATCGCATCATATGACCCCTTTAAATCCCTTTTGAATGAGCGCTCGAAGTCGCAGTTCACTTTCGATTTCGCGATCGCGTGCGCACTGTGTAAAGGGAGCACATCTTACGATAAAAGATATTTGTCAATGAGCTCGGGATCTGTTGAGGAGCAAATCCTCCAACATCTTGTCAGTTATCTCTCCTAACTTTTGACCCGTGATCAGTCAAATCTGACTTCTGCAGCTCGTGTTGGATGCAGGGGTGTATTCCAGAAAGCACGGTTAACTTATCGTCAGCTCAACTCTGAACTTTCGGTTGATTAACCCCAAACCTTGCTTACTCGAGGTATGTGGTTCCAAAAACGCGTCCGGGTATGTGGTTCCAAAAATGCGTCCAGGAGTAAGTTCACTCAACTCAGAGTATGTTCCTGGTTAAGACTCAAGACATTCACAAAAGAGCGACGAATCGACGAGTCACTATGGAAACGGACGCTAAGAAAAAGCGCGCCAGTTTTTATGACTGAATTAGGCTAATTGTTAGCTCTTCATTAAACTCACAAGCCTCCTGCAGTTCCTTCACAAACCCCAGTTTGGGAAACTTTGATGTAATGTAGCCTAATGTTTAATGCACTTTATGTTGTTAATAACAACGAATGGAATATATTTTCTTTTTCTTTGCTTTTTTATATCAATATGCTACACGATTATCCTACTTAAATCAATGTGATAAACGAGTAAGGTCAAAATTAATTCTTAAAGTAATCAAAAAGTAGTGTCATTATATCACCTAAAATGTGTAATGTAATGGATTACGTTACTAACTAAATTTTTTGTCATGTGATTTGGAATCAGTAACGGACTACAATTTGTAATCTACCCAGCCCTCGATAGATAGATAGATAGATAGATAGATAGATAGATAGATAGACAGACAGACAGACAGACAGACAGATAGATAGATA